CTATTTTTCAAGTTCTATAAAACCTTTTAGTTGTCTAAAAAAAATGTCTTCCACTAAGTTACCATGAAGTAATTTAACATTCATTTTTTCAAGATGAATACTTTTTGCTATTATAATGCTTGTTATTAGACGAATAGTCACAAGTTTAATTGCAAGAGATAATGTTTTTGTAAAGTTTAATTTAGCCTTCTCCCTTAACAAAAAGTCTTGCTTTATATTTTTTGATTCACTTTCATTCTTCATTCATTTAATATATCTATTTCAATGACTTACTATCTTTGGACAGTTCGATCAATACTTACGTGTTGTTCTTAAAAATAGTTTCTATCTCCTTTTTCATTGGAAAATCCCATTAAAAAATATCTTATTTGTATATATATACATTCATTTTAGCACTCGAATGCGGATGCATCAATAAATAATATGTAGTTTGTCAACTTGTGATGATACCCATTTATATATATTTTTTCATTAATTTTGTATGGATTCCTTCTATGAGGTGTCAAAAAGATAACTCTTTGGTTTCATTTGGGACAACTTTCTGATCCTTTTTAAAGGAGCTAGCTTTTTAGTATTGGTGCGTCCTGAAAAATTTGCGGCGATAGAGAGTGATATAGTTTAGCGTCTTAATTTTGTACAAAGATCCAGCACACAAACATATAAGAGAGTATGGTTATAGCATTTGTAAGAGAGACTAATTTTTAACGTGGAAACCCTTGAAAAGGAGAAAAACCACGGGGTCTAGCCTGGTTTGAATGAATCCACTAGTGCTTGCAATTGATTACAAATAAGATCCTTCCTTAGAAGGAATGTCTTGGCTCGATGTAGCAAATATACATCATATAGAGTGCAATATATTATAGGAGTTGGAAGAATCAACGTTGATATGTTCATGTGAGCGGCAAGACCACCATAGTCGACGAGTGATGTAGGTTATAAAGATTGTAGCGGATGACGGTGGTCGGAAGGACCATAGTTGGATGATAGTGATCGAAAGGACCATAGTTGGGCGACGGTGGTCAGAAGGATCATATCAGTAAGAGACAGTGGTCAGAAAAAACTGTAGTTGTCGATGGCAGTTGGAAGACCATAGTCGGCGGGCGACAAAGGTTGGAAGGGTTGTAGTTGGGTGACAATGGTTCGAAGACCGTAGTCGGCGGATATTCATGTTGGATCAAGACTATTTTTGGTGACGTGTGAAAAATAAAAATTTCTAATTTCAAAATTTGTTGTACTTAAAAGTTGTTCTCAAAAGCAGTAAAAAAAACTATCACAAATAAAGCCTTTGTAAGCTATTTATTGCTAAGGGAAGCTATTTCTTTGATTTTTGTATTAAAAACATGTTTTAAGAAGCAGTAAAAAAGTTGTCATGAATGAAGCCTTTATGACGACTTTCTTACTACTTCTCAAAGCAACTTTTTAGAATAAAATTTTAAATTTTAAACTAAAAAATTATTTTAAGAAGCAATAAAAAAGTCGTCCCAAACAAAACCTTAGCCTACAAGTTTATTTTCTTCTTCGAAAATTTATGTTATAAGTCATGTGCACCTTATATACCTTATTTTTATTATTTGATCATGTGTGAGTGCCATACATTCAAAGTAATAATAATTAGTCTTTTCCTACGGGGAGCCAACAAACAGCACTAGCAAATAAGAGTCGTCTATATTTGGACAAATTATTGAATGAACTGAGCTCCTATGACTATTATAAGAGTCTAAGTTACGGTCGTATATATTTACTTTCTAACCATTAAAATTATTATGAAATATTCATTTTTCAATTATATTTTTAAAATTAAATCTAAAATAACATAGTTTGTTGGATTTGTAACAATTTGGTCATTCTTTCATGAGACTAAATATTTGTATTATATTTTTAGTAGAAACGTGCGAAAAGATAATTAGTAGCCTTAAATAGGGGATTAAGTGGGTCAAATTAGCTCGATAAATAATTAGTGGGCTAAGCTCGATGAGCTATTAAGAGCCAAATTAGCTTGAGCTTGTCTCGACTCAGCTCATTGGCTTGGAAGCTCGCTCATTTAAAAAATACTAATATAAATGCTCTTAAAATATATTAAATTTAAAGACTAAGATGAAAAAGTAAGTTAATAAATTTAAAATTATATTTAAAAATGTGTTTATCGGCCAATATTTTAATACAACTAGTAAAAATAATATGATCAAAATCAAAAGTAAATAAAATATATACACAATTATATCTTTATATTTTGAGGCTGTTCTTTTAAATATAAAACTAGGGTGCAAATGAGTCAAACCGACTCACGATTCGGCTCTAATTTGATTTCTTAACAAGCTCACAGCCGAGTTTATTGAATTTCGAGCTCGAGCTAGAGCAGAATGGATCAACCGAATCTACTGTTGCTCCAGCTACCCCTATTCTAGCCACTTCCCATCCCTACACGGGCCTTTCTCAACCTACGGGCTTTGCAAGTGGAACTCAATTGGCTAAATTAACCAAAAGAACCTAGTCGGTTCTTAAGCTCTTTGCCTCTTTGCTAGATGAAATCTCTCCCTCGTCTGGTTCTACTCTGATACTTAATTCTTCCTATCACGATCTAGAAAGTTTTGAGCACGCTGGATTATCGAGCTCGAGTTCGATCTAGAAGATGCTCGGCTCGATTACTAGTCAAGAAGCTCTATCAAGCGCATGTGAACTAGCAAACCCCAGAAGGCGAATCCCGAAAGCTGAATTGGAGAATATTTGTGAGCCGCGCGGAAGGCGAGTTGGTGTCTACGTGTGTGAACCGCAGAAGGCAGACTAGCATTTGCGCATGCAAACCGCAAAAGATGAAATGACGTATGCACTTGCGAACTGCGAAAGGGAAGGCATAATCTCACGAGCTCATTTTCAGTGGCATGAGCCGAGCTCGCCTTTTGAGCTCGATTCAAGTTCAAGCTCAGTATTTGTCTCACGAGTCGAGCTCGACTCGAATTCGAGCTCGGAATTTGACTCCTGAATCAAGCTCAAGTTAGACCTGTTTGCACCCCTATACAAAACCAACAAAGTGCATTATTAGTTTGCTATTAAAAAAAAGTGCATTATTAAATTCAGCTCAAGCATGCAATAATTTCTCTAAATGGATAACCTTTCATTATATATACCTGTAATAATTAATTAAGCACTAGTGGCTAGCTTTAATTAACACCAAGCCTCATATTATAAACACTTTGGTGTAGTGCGTTCAAGCTTGCAGATTTCCTTGAAAAACAATATTCATCTTATTTTTCAGTAAATGCCAAATATTCTGGTGCTCCTATTGCTTTTGTAGGAACACTGTCTCCCACCTTGTAACTCTATGTATATTCAAATATTGTTTGCATACTCTCCTGTGCCTTCTTCGGCCAGCAATATTGTTCCCGAAAGCTTAGCTACGGAACACCAAAGCTGCGGGCCCATCATACTTATTGAGTCAATCATCTTTGATAAATTTGCGGAAAATAAATGCAACAAAAGGCACCATTCAACTTTTAACCATGCCCTCATATGAATATTCTAATAGCATAATATTATGAATATTCTAATATATATATTTAATACTATTAGTTATTTACTATCCTACTCTTTTCATATATATTTAAGTGATGTGTGAATAGTCGGTGTAAGTTTTATTTGGGATGATTTTCTTATTGCTTTTTAAAAAATAATTTTTTGATATAAATTTTTGTACTAAAAAATTACTTTAAGAAGCAATAAGAAAATCGTCCCAAATAAAATCATAATACGATGAACCAAAGGCCTCATATCTAAATTAACAGCAGTTTAAATCTTTGTTATATTAACAAGCTTAGAACCACTGTTAGTATTTTTGCGACAGTTTAAACTAATATTACAAATTTCATAAAAATTACTATAAATGTCATATTCTCTTACAGTGAAAATTTAAAGGTGCCTCGAATATTTCTTTAAATTTGTTTCATATGTATTGTGAATGGAGTTTTGATGAGGATGCCATTAATTAATGTATTTTTTCTCATTATGGAAGTATATAATATATGTGGTTATACACACTATTATAGTTTTTAATCATATTTATTTTATTTTTTGTCATATTTTATGATTAAATAACTACATACCTATACTTTGTCAATACTCATACTTTATAGATGATATAACTATAACTTAGAATTCTAATAATGGCATGTAGTAATTAATGTATTCTATTAGTATCGTTAGTCTTCTAATATTTAAAGGGTGCTTGTTATGCGATTTTAATTGGGATAATACAATGAAATTAATATGATCTTGAATGTAAATGACTTAATTTTTTAGTCATACGCATCTATATATTATAATATCTATTTTTTTTTTTTTTGGAATCGGGTATATATCCACCCGCTGTCACTCCCAAAATGACGTTTGAGGACGTGACTAATCATCGACTAACTTAGAAGAGTCACCCACCCCAAAAACTTCCTAGCTCGTATTTGATTGAGCCTCACTTAAGAGGCTCTACCGCTCAAGGGAATTCGAGTGCCGGTTGGGGGGTTCCCAACCGGTTTCCAACCGTACTCACCCACCAACAAATATAAGCAACGGTAGATTTCCGTGTGTTTCTTCTTAGTTTTTTTTTCCCTAACATCAAAATAATAGCCAGTTTGTTTCTCCTAATAGATCATTCCAAACTGCGACATTAAGAAGGATGAAGGGAATACCAATGGGGATGGGGCCTGGGGGAACTTTCCACTGCAATGAATATAATAGGATCACAGCTGGCCTTATAGATAAAACTCTTTTTTGAAATGGAGATGCTTGATGCTGTCCACTTCCGCCCAATCATTATTTTCTTTGAATTTTAATATAATTTCCATGCAAGAAGTCTGAGCTCATGAGAGCTTATAGCTCTCTCTTTCTCTCCGTGTGTGTGTGTGTATATATATGAGGAATTTGAAGCATATACCACCCCAGCACTTTCCTTGTGGCTTTTGTCTTCCTCTTCTCTGTGTTCTTCTTGAGTTCTTGAAATCTACCATTGAGTTATGGCAAGAGGAATTGGGCTTGAAGCCCCACTATCAAAAATGGCAAACTCAAATGCCCATGGAGAGGAATCACCATACTTTGCTGGCTGGAAAGCATATAATGAGAACCCTTATGATCCCAAGGAAAACCCTACTGGAGTCATACAAATGGGCTTAGCTGAGAACCAAGTAAGATGAACTAATTCTCCTCAATAAGGAAGCAGCGCAGAAGAAGCATTGTCCTATAATTGACTCCTGAGCCTTTATTTCTTTTCACAGGTCTCCTTTGATTTGCTTGAGAATTACCTGGAGGAGCACCCAGAGGCTTACAACTGGGGCTCCGGCCCCTCCAGTTTCAGAGAAAATGCCTTGTTCCAGGACTATCATGGTCTCCAAACTTTCAGAAAGGTCCCCCCCCCTCTCTCTCTCTCTCTCTCTCTCTCTCTCTCTCTCTCTCTCTCTCGCTCTCTCTCTCAACAGAAACTATGTAAACTTTTTGGCTTGCAACTTTTTATTATATGGTCATGCTACTACTTTTGTTATCACAAAGAACGGCAGCAAAGTAGAAGAGTTGCCATTATTTGACACCTTGTTCAGTTGTTCTTCCACTAACTGACAAAGCTGCAAACTTTCCAGGCAACTGGAATTATCTATGGCTGGTTGTTCTCGTGTTGAATCCTTATAATAATTAACCACTTACCTTATTTAGTTTAATATATTAGTAAAATTTAATAATTATATTCTACTTAGGCTCAAGATGTTTTCATTCTCCTAATAATTCAGTACTGCTTCTCAGGCAATGGCAAGCTTCATGGAGAAAATAAGATCAGGGCGTGCAAAGTTTGATCCTGATCGTATTGTCCTCACCGCCGGTGCCACCGCCACCAACGAGCTCCTGACCTTTATTCTAGCTGATCCTGGTGATGCCTTGCTTGTTCCCACTCCTTACTATCCAGGGTAACTACAAATGCTTTTTATTACTTGCTCTACATTTCCTTTAGAAATAAATAGGCCGTTAGCCGAACTATAAAGCATTGTTACTTGCATAACAAAATAACCAATATTGCTAAGTATTCTTCATCATGAACAGATTCGACAGAGATCTTCGATGGAGAACAGGAGTTTCCATCATCCCCATCCCTTGCCACAGCTCCAATTCCTTCCAGCTTACTCTCCAATCTCTCGAAACGGCGTTTGCGAACGCAGAAGCATTGAACCTTAAAGTCAAAGCCCTGCTGATAACGAACCCTTCCAACCCCCTCGGGATTTCCTCGCCTCGCTCTCTCCTCGAAGACATTCTAAACTTCATCAACACAAAGAAAATCCATTTGATCTCTGATGAGATCTACTCGGGCTCCGTCTTCTCCTCGAACGACTTTGTGAGCGTCGCAGAAATCGTCGAAGATCGAATCCACATAAATTCTAAGCAAGTTCACATAGTTTACAGCCTCTCGAAGGACTTAGGACTCCCTGGCTTCCGAGTGGGAGCTCTATATTCTTACAATGACAAAGTAGTAAAAACAGCAAGAAGAATGTCAAGCTTTAGCCGTGTCTCTTCCCAAACTCAGAAGATGTTATCTTTCATGCTATCTGATGAAGAGTTTACTTTGAAGTATATTAAAACTAATAGAAAAAGATTGAAAGAGAGGCATTCACGCATCGTTGATGAGCTTAGGAATTCAGGTATTGATTGCTTGAAGGGGAATGCTGGGCTTTTCTGCTGGGTTAATCTCGGTGAGTTTCTTGAACAGAAGAGTACAGAAGGCGAGCTGAAGCTTTGGAAGGTGATAGTGGATGAAGTGAAGCTTAATATATCTCCGGGGTCTTCTTGCCATTGTTCGGAGGCAGGTTGGTTTAGGGTTTGCTTTGCGAATATGAGCCAGGAAACGTTGGAGGTTGCGTTGAGGAGATTGAGGGAATTTGCAGAGAAGATTAGAGCAACGAAGAAGATCTCTTGATGGAGATCAGATTATTATATGATTGAAGTAATAAATATATGATTAATACTTATATATTTAGTTCAAAAAAATGCTGTCTTGAACGTGTACTTCTAATCTATATCATTCCAATTTTATAAAGAATAGTTTTGTAGTTCATCCATGTTACATTATTCCGACAAAATTGTAGCGTAACTTTTTCGAACAGAATATTATTATTCTAGAGTTATATTAATATATATATTATATATATCTATTTCATTTTTTTTTATTTTTTGGAAAAGGGAAAATTTAATTTCTTCAAAATAAAAAATACAAAGATCTTAAAGTGACAAAAACTTGCTAATTTTAAATGAGCTATATTAAAAAGAAATAAACTTAAAGGAGAAATAATTCCTATCTAAGGAGAAATTATTCTGTGTAGAGTCCAGATAGGAAGAATTGTTCGGACATATCATTCGGACATATGAGTGTACACACTATGTACATCATCCCACACTATGTGTATCAAATCAGTGTACACATTATGTATACATATTGATACATAGTGTGTACACTAACAATCCGAACGGTTCTTCCCGTCCGAACTCTGCACACATAATAATTCTCCTATCTAATATGCAATAAAAAGAAAAATTAAAGGTTGACTAATTCTTAAAAATTGAATTTATTTAGGATTGATTTGGGCAGCTGCAATACTAGTGTTTGAAGTAATTTTTTTGAAAGCTTATGTGAAAAGTAGTTTTCTAATACCAAAAAAAATTTTAAAGTTGAGAGGAGACAAAAGCCAAATAGAATTATGATTGTAATATGAAAAATAAAATAGTAAGAAAGTTATCTAAAAACAGAACCTTAATTATTAAACTTAAAAAAATAAGATTTTATTCTAACAAAATTTTAAAATAAACTTTAAAATCTTGTCCATGAAAATCTAATCTTTTGAATGTATTAAATAGTTATTTCGTTCTAAATATAGATTAATTTTGTTATTAATATTAATTTTTTATTTATTTTCTATCAAGAATATAATTAATTTTAAACTAGATTTTAATTATGTTTTATTTAAATTAAAACATTAGTTATGCTTTTATATTGAGTATTGTAATTTGAACATATATGTTGTCTTTTTATATTAATTTATTAAAATAATATATTTACTTTCTCTCTCAAAAAAAAAAATTGTTTCCTCTGGCTTTTGAAAGTACTTGTAAATAATACTTTTTCTCTCGACGGTCTCGTAACTCCAGACTGAACATAAAAAACAAATAAATTTACGTAAACTACTTACAAGAATTTCTGTCAGGAATTTCTTATCAAATTTATGTGCGTGGTGCCATACATTCGGCTAATATAGAGTTTTATAAAAAAAATAAAAACAATTTTTATATAGAACTTTAATGTTTTTATGAGGGGAATATATTTAGCTTTTCTTTATAAAATATAATACATTGTAAAAAGAAAAAGGAATAAGGTATGTCATACTTTGGATGTGGACGGATTAACGTCTTGTTAGGGTGACTGTGAACATCTCAAATTAGTACTTTGAGATGTATGATTTGAGGTTTATGTTATAAAATGTGTGACGTGATTTATTAATATGTTCTGCGCGCTTTGGCTTAGAGCTAATTAGGGGTGCAAATGAGTCGAGTCGAGCTCGAGCCAGGGGATGTTCAAGTCGAGCTCGATTGTCAAATACCGAGCTCGAGCTCGAGTCGAGCGGCTTGTCGAGCGGATGCCTCGTACACGAATCCCGCTCTTCGATGTCCCGCTCCCGGACGCACTCCCGCAATCGCACTCCCGCTCTCACACCCGCTCCCTCAGAAGCGGCGCGACCCGCTCCCGCGAGGCACCCGCTCCCACTCCTGTAGACGTGAAGCGACCCGCTCCCGCAATCGAGCACTATCGCTCGTTGTCGCGCTCCTGCTCCTGCTCCCGCAGACACGACGCGACCGCTCTTGCTCGCTGTCCAGCTCCAGCCGACGCGACTCGCTCCCGCAGACGCGACCTTCTCCCGCAATCGCGAGCTACTCGACGAGCCATCGAGTCGATCAGCCCAGTGTCCGAGCTCGAGCTCATTTAGCGCTCAAGCTCGAACCCGCGTTCAAGCTCGACTTGCGAGCTGATGAGCTCTGCTCATCGAGCCCGAGCCGGCTTGACTCGGTTGCACCCCTAGAGCTAACAACTGCTTTTCATAATCTAAGACATAGGATTTTTTTTTTTTTTTTTTTTTTTTTTTTTTTAAAAAATTTGAAAGGATAAATTTTATTCCATAAAATAAAAAGTTCCAACTCTTGAAGTGATCGAAAACTCATTAAATGCCCAAAGAGCTACAATAAAAAAAACTAAAAAAAATTCTTAGACACAAAGATCTTTGACGAAGAACAAAAATGAGCAAATAAGAAAAACTAATCAAAGTTAGGTAAGGACATAAAGCCTAAAAAATCAAAGCAACCCAAAGCTAAAATAAACAAGACACTCAATCAAGTACTAAACTTGAGATACCTGCAAAAAAAAAATTTTAAGGCACAAAAATAACAACATGCTTGTGCATCAACATAAAGAAGGGAATGATCTCTAAACAACATATTAAAGATAGCCCAAATCCATAGTAGCAATAATCTGATAGCCAGGCCACCATAATTCCATTCCATCTAGCGGGATTAATATATGCATTCAAAAGTAACAACCAGACTACACAGCAACAATCTAAATCAGCAACTCAATAACCAACACTTGAAGAATCTGAACACATAACAACATTGCAAGAAAGAAGCCAATTAATCTGTGCATAAGCCAACAACAATGAAGGATAATAATCATATAATCATCAGGCCAAAGACAACTAAATAATGACCAACAATGTAAAAGCAATCTAAAGACTAAGTTGAGTTGACATGGCTCTGATAAGTGTTGTATTTCACCAAAATCAACCTTTGCAAAAATTGTTATACCAGCTACCCATAATGATCCACTTTCAATCAAATCATTATATTGAAAAATATCATAATTCAAAATAAAAGAAGGTACCAACAGTTCTCACATATTTAGCCAAAGAGAAAAATTCACTGGCCTAATTAGTTTAATGTTCAGTGAGCTATTGGATGGTATGCCCTTGCTACAAGCTTCTTCCCTTGATGTCATTCATAAATTTTTTCTGAATTTGAAATTGACTGGTGAATTTTCTATTACTTTGCCAACCTTAAGAATATTCGGATTAAACTGAGAAATTATTTGGATTACAACTGGGTGTTCTCCCACCATTCCTATTTTTTCAACAATTGTTATATGAAGCTTTTCAAGTAGTATTCTCACTTTAATGTGAATGTTGAATCTCTTGTTAATCCCATTTGGGTGTCATTTCCCTACCTCCGCCTGCATCTCTTTTTGCCTTGCATTTTGCATGAGTTAGGGTCTTTGTTTGGTAGACCCTTGCATACTGATAATGCTACTATTAGCGGCACTAGACCTTCGGTGGCTCGTATACTTATTGAGTTAGTTATTAATAAATGTTATCCTAACCAAGTGTGTTTTGGCTCTGTTCTGTGGGGTACATTCAATTCATGGAGATGGAAGAATTTCCCCTGTATTGCTCTCATTATAAATCTTTGGGTCATGTGAGAGATGTTTTCTCGATTTTGTTTCCTAATTTTGTTCATGTGAAAGATGTTTTCCCTCCTATGGTGGAGGGACCTTTGGTAGGTACTCATACTTCACAAAATGCTAGTGATATTCCGCCTTTAGTTTAGGTGGATCATTGTGTTGGTGATGTTCCTCTAAATAATAGTGGTGTTGATGGGGGTGATCCTTCTATAATTAATTCTGGGGAGTAAGAAATTATGGCTACATTGGTTGAGGGTGATGTTGATTGCCTTAACTCTGATAATTTGGTTTCTTCTAATGTAGCTTTCCTTGAGTCAGTGGATGTTAATTTAATTTAAGAGTGTGGTTGAGGATTGTTGTGTTGCTTTGGCTCCTGGAGTGGAGGAGATTGATGGTGTTGACCATTTGGATCATGGTGCTCCGGTCGGACATCCCTCTATTGGGGGAAGTGTTGTTTATGATTATTTGGTTGATGTTCCTATCAAGCATATTTCACCTAATGTTCTTAAGTTGCAAATTTTGTTGAGATCAAGAGAGTCATGTTTGAGGTAAATTGATTGGTTGGATGATTCCCATGACACTTCATGTGATCTCGAGGATGACTTGGGGGTGACGTTGGGGCCACACAGGGTTTTTATGGTTTGGAGGTTTCTCATGCTTAGGAACCCCCCCTTTAATTCTCTCATGGTGGAAAATAGTGTCGATGCAAATCTAGGAGATAATATTTTTCTTTTTCCTTTTGTTTTCTTTTATAGGGCTAGCTATTTTTTATTTCTCTTGTGCTGGTCTCAATTTTTTTGGGTTGGGACGTTCTAATGTAGCTTGTTTTGGCTTGGTTTTGGTGTGCTATGACTCGGTTGCTTGGGTTATTTACCTACTCTATTGTGATTTTATAATATGCTTTGGACTATGATGAAGCAGTATCCCTGCATGCTCGAGGATGGCCATGGCTTGGTTTGCAACCTTGGTGGTCCTTTTCCTTATCAGTTTACTTTAGTGAACCTAATGTGTTTGGAATCTATGTGATTGCATATGTTTCCTCCTTGGATGTCCCAAGCCTGTCAACTAGGTGGCGGTCTAAGTCCAGTTGCTTTAGGATTTTTTTTTTCATTGTCTTATTTAGGTTGTTTGACCGTACACTAATTATTCTATCCTCTTACTGTATTTGTCTTATATGTGATCTCTTTTTTGGGCTTGTATTGTAATGCCTCTTTTATCTAATGGAATTCTCTTTTAAAAAAACATGTACAAAAAAATATACATATCCTCCACCCAAATATAATAAATGCTGATAGTCATCTAATTATTCCTCATAATCAAGAGAAAATGAAAATCACTATGAGCAGCAGCATAGTAAGAGTTCCAATCATTGGTATCACTAAATAAATTTATAGCCATGTGTGACCCCTAACCATCAATAG